CATCACTGAAATCAACGGGACCATTGCCATTGGGTACAAAATCTGGCCCTAACAGGGCCCATTTATAAAGGATGATTTTAATACACCCGTGTAGGGTATTTTTAATTGCATGCTTTCAAATTTCAGAGTTAAGTCTTTGACAACTAGAATCTGGTCTATTTCAAATAAATTCAGTAAAGACTTCTACAGATCTAATTAAAAAAATTATCCCTCTCAATCACTGCTCCAGCCATACCTACTTCCACCCTCACCACACATGAATCTTAAGTTGTGCAGAAATTTCTGTGGGTCCTCTGCAAAAGAAGCATTTAAAAAGAGGTATTGCACAGCTCTGATGTCACAATTGAGAATATAACCATCTCATGACCTCACACCCAAGTGTTACCTTGCTTTCCAACAGGCAGTGTCAGTTATAACAAATGTGTGCCTGACAGGAAGGATGAAGAGTCTATCTTAGGCAGGGTACCAGCTGTTAAAGGTGTTATCACATTAGTGCTATCTATAACCCCGACTGAATATACCTACTAAATGAGTCCTTTATGGGGGAGGGGGAGGAATTAATATGTAAGTTGAAAGAAAATGAGAATTAGAATATTAGACAATTTGAACTTACTGTAAATGTCTTATAACTTAAGATTCTTTGAGTGCCTGTCCATATATATTCCACACCTGGTGCACATGTATCCCGTGTGCTCAGGATTCGAATCTTTTGGCCAGCAGTTTCTGTTGGAGACATGGATGCACCCTGAATGTCCTCATGCCAAGGGAATAAAGGATGGAGCGGGCCCAACTGCCCCCCAGTTCCTTCTTACTGCCATGGCTGAGAGACAGAACCCCAACAGTGTCTGCATCTCCGCACACTTTCTAAACCACTTATTATAGATATTTGTAAATAGTGTTAAGATTAGGAGTTTTTAATGTGTAGTCAGTGTAGTTTTGGCCCATTAACATAATTGATATTTTTGGAGAGAAGTTATTTCTCCTGGTACTGGGACTTAGTCATGACTGAACCTAAGTCTTCCAGGTCCAAAAACTGTCCCTCCTGTGCTGCTTAATGATGGTCATACAAGATGCCTTTTTTGCCTCAAGGATGGACACACCCCTGATAAATGTACCATTTCTAGGTTCCTTTCACAAAGGATCCAGAAGGTAAGAGAGGCTCGCTTCAAACTTTTTCTCTTGGACCAGGCTTTGACCTTCCTCAGACCCAGGCAAGCAAGACCTCCCTGGACTAACTCAGTTTGAGTCTAGAAGTGCCCCGGTAAACCCCCGATCAACCTTAGCTCCTAAGCTCCGTTCTCTAAGATGGCCCTGACTATAGACTCTCACAGGGCTATGGGATCAGCTAAAACTTTAAAACTTCTGATAGAGGTAAGAAAGGAGCATGACTCCTTTAGAAAGCATTGGGATATATCCCAGTTAGTTGACCCAAGCATACAGAGAATGAAATCGCTTCTTCATTCGCAGTCTAAGGGGATTTCACAGCCCGAATAGGGTACTGCTGTAGCCCAAAGGAAGCATGGTACCCGACTCTTAGCATGTCTCATGGATCAAAACTTATTGCCTCTGGTACCAAGTCTGCAGTACCAATGACTCATTCAACACCAGTTACTTTGGCACTAACCACTACAGCACAGTCAGCCCCCATACTGCTATTTGCAGTACCAGGGTGGCATGTATAGATAGTGAAGAACTTGCTCAAAAAAGCAATGGATGTAAAGAACCACCATTTGTGGCACTACTCAACTATAGAGCTATATTGTTGCAATGTGGAACTCCTCTACAACAGAAGTATAAATACTTGATTACCAGATATGGGACAAAAAACAAAGTCTGACTAAGGAGACTGTGAAAGTGAGAAAAAGACTGGAAAAGTACAATCAGACAAAATATTACAATAAAGGAGTAAGACATCTTCCACAGTTAAAAATCAAAATCTCTGTGAGAATTTGGCAAGATGAGTACTGGCCAGTCAAAGCTATAGTGATCAAAGAGGAGTCACCTCACTCATACTCATTGATCATAGATGAAGGCAAAATCTTACACAGGAATATGCTTGAGATACCTGACACCTTAGCCAAGATAAGAGAAGCGAGAGCAGATGCACAAGGTGAAAACATTTCACAAACTGCCCCCATTATTTCATGAGACTGAACAGTTTCTTACAAACAAGGCCTTTTCTAAAGATGGTTTGCAATACAGCATCCCGGGAAGACTGCTGAAATGCCCTAACGACTGATCAAGACATGGTTGTGTTTAAGCAACTTGAAGGATTGTTGTCAGTTATTGTATTTATCATTTATAGTTTGTTTAATGTAATAATGTTTTAGTTAAATACAGAAAGATGGGATGTAGAATAAGTCCTCCAGGAAGTGCCTACACATCCCACTTCCTGTGCACTCTAGATGTAGTCGTTAGTTTCCAGTGTCGCACTGCTGGAGCAGGACAGGACTATCACAACCTGCAGCTCCATAGAATAGCAGAAAGTTTAGATACCTCACTTCTGTACATAGACTTTATCTTGAAACTGGTCAGCTCATCAGTAAGATACTACAGTGGAGGAGACTGTAGGGGAGGTATAGGTTGTGATGAGGGATTGGCTATGGGCATGGGTTGTGGCAAGAGAGTGTGTGTCTGTAGGGAAAGATATAGGTTGCGGGTGTCTGGGTGTAGGAAGAGTAGGAGTTGGGTGTGTACATAGATGTGTGTGTATATAGAAGAGGATGAGTTGTGAGTGTGTGTAGGGATGTGTTTTTGTGTACAGAAGGATACAGGATGTAGCAAGAGGTCTGTGTGTGTAGGGGGGAGGGTATGGAATCAGACAAAAGATGTGTTTGTTCAGAGAAGGATATGGATTAGAGTGGTAATGGGTATATAGAGGAGGGAGCAGTGTGGTGGGGGTGGGTGCATGAGGTGAGGATAGGATAGAGATTTTGGTGGGGGATGGAGCGGATCTGTATGGTACAAGTTGTGGGATGTGCGTGTGTGAGGGGGAATACAGGTTGGGGTGGAGTGTGTGTGTGAAGGATGAGGGTTGTGGGAGAAGGGGAGGGTACAGCATGGGGTGGGGTAGGGTGTGAGTTGTGACAGGGAGGGATTGTGGTGGGGTTTGGGGAGCAGGGCAGGGGTTGTGGTGGTGGGGTGTGTAAGGGGAAAGGAGGTTGTGAGGGGGAGGAATGCATGGTACAGATGTACAGATCATGGTGTTAGGGATGGTTGCAGTGGTATATGGGTTGTGGTGGTGGGGTGTGTAGTGGGAAAGGAGGTTGTGAGGTGGAGGAATGCAGGGGTGGGGGGGTTGGGATATGGGTTGTGGTGGGGTTTGGGGAGCAGGGCCGGGGTTGTGGTGGTGGGGTGTATGGGGAGGAATGGGGTTGTGATGTAGAGGAGTGGGGGTAGGGGGATGACGGGTGGGATAGGGGTTGTGTGTGAGAGAGGGGAGGTGCGAGGGGGTGGGGCACAGGCTCGGAGGAGGGTGGTGGTGACGGTGTAGGAAAGCAGTCTGTGGTTGCGGCGGGAGGGGTTGGTGCGGCCTGCGCTGTCTGAGCTCAAGGTACCTCCCGTCACCCAGCAGCAGCTCCGCGGTCCCTGCTGAAGCCACAGGGGCTTCCCCGCCCCAAGTGCTAGGGTGAAATCGGTGCAGTCGCCCTCGCTAAAGATGGCGGCGGCTGAAGCTCGGGTCTTGCCCTTGTTAAAGATGGCTGCAAGCGAGGTGGCAGCCCGTTTCCCCTCAGTAAAGAGGGCGATTGATAGGGAGTCTCTCACGGCCACTCTATTGCCCACATTAAAGATGGCGGCCGAGCGCGTTCACGCTGCCCAGGAAGGGGTCAGCTCAGTGACGCAAATTTCACTACCGGGTGAACGCCAGCGGGCGCCATATTGTCTTGTTCGTGAAGACGAGGAGTAAGGGGGAGGAAGCGGCAGTGGCGGTGAAGGAGACGAAGCGGTGCCGCCTGTGACCGGCGGGGGGGAGGAGAGGGAACGTGTAAGTAACGGGGCGGGCAGCGCTCATCGCGGCGACCGGGGGGCTAAACCGACCGGCATCCCCGCCCCGCCGAGGGGGGAGGGGCTGGAGGGCGCTCGGCGCTGTTGTCCGAGCCGCTCGCTGTGTGAGGGGCTGGGTGCCAGCGCGAGGCTTCCTCCGCCTCTGGGGAGAGATTTATGTTCCCGACGGGAGGAAGAGCATCTCCCGCCCCCGTGGCGGTTGGCACTTGCGCATGCGCTACGCGAGGGAGCTGGGGTACAATCGAGGTGACTGGAGAGAGAGACCCCCATTTCTCGCGGTGCGCATGCGCTGCTGTCCTAGGGGGGTACCCAAGAGACTGATGGAGACTGGTCTCGGTACCCCATATTGCGCATGCGTAAATGGTCAATTCTAGCAGAACCCAATGGGTTGGAGCGCGCAGCCCACGCTGCTGTTCGAGCAGGAAGGGAAGCGCTTTGTTGAGGTCTCTGCCATGTGCCCGTGGTCCCAATGGGCGTGGGAGACCTGCCTGTTGTGTCTAGGGCTGCCCAGCTTTTGGACTTCGCCTGTGACAATGCCATTAAACTTACTCTGAAACCCAGTTGAGCCATCCTGGGTGGAGGGTTACTAGGTTTGCATATACCCGACCTGCTTTGTGGTTTAGGTCGCAGTGACGATTATGTAATTGGGGTAACTTAGGCAGTGCCTTGCTCAGGTACAAGAAAGCGAGTGACAAGAGGGATAGGTTCATGGTCCGGCTGATGGAGAAGTACAAACCTCTCTTTAAACTCAAAAAAGTTGGATTCTTCAGCTGCTAGCAGTGCTGATTCTGTGTGCTAGTGACCAGAGCATTAATAGCTATGAGCCAGGTTTTTGCCGTAACAACATCAGGATTCTGTAACTGTTAAATTACCAGGATACTTCTTTTAAATACTTAATGTGAAATATATGTTGCATTGCACCAGCATGTGTGATGATCATTCCACTGGGGGACTCCTAAGGAGTAGCATTATCAATATTATCATTTACAAAATGCCTACACTTAGTTGAACAGCTCAGCAGAGATAGGACATTTCTAAACACCTCCTTAATCAGAGCTCAAGTTTTCAATCCTTACTCCTGTTAAGTGACTAATACTTACACAAGCAGTTCCATGGAGTTCAATGGGACAGCTTGTATGAGTGTATATACTACTTTCTGTGAATAAGGGATTGGGCCCTTAATTTTGTAGCTACTGTTCTACCTAAAGCTTTGACCTGCCTAACTTGGGGAAATTTAACTTCACAGCCTGTCATGTATTATTTCTTTTCTTCGGTTACTATCGTACCTGCCCTAAAACATACAATAAGAGCCTTCCTCTCAGGAGTGGGGGAGGCTAGCATATTCTTGCTTTAAAATGAATCCCCCAGATGAGAGTCTCAAGCAGGTTAGGCCTTTGGTTAGGCTCAGCAAAGTAAGATATTGTGGGGGCAGGTGCCTCCAGCTTCATTTTCTTTCCATGCTGGCAAGCCAGGTATGGATTCATAAGGTTGCCATTGACAACAGGTTTGTAGTGGGTCTTTGGATGGGTTTTACTTGGCTAGAGAAATAAATATAATGGAACAGTCACCTTCCCTGATGCACAGACATTACTTTTGTATCGTATGCCTCATCAGTGTGCTTGGTTTCTATAGAAAACAAATCCTTCAGGAAGGATGTTACAGTCTAATGTAGACTGATAGTACTATTCAGGCACACAATACATTGGATGATCAGTTGAAAAATCGAGTGCTAGCCTTGTTAGTTGGGGTGACTTGATTTCATTTCTTTGTGCCCCCATCAGTTTTTTTCATGAGCGTTTTCTAAATTTAGTAGAATTTTGACCACAATTTAAAAAAATAATTTTATTTCTCATGTAAATGTAAACAGTCCAGCAGCTGTTTCTGTATATGCTATCAATGTAATCTTCTATATAAAGATGATTTAAAAATAGATTTGGTATGTTTGTTACATTAGTCACAGATTTGTGAGATTATCTGATCCACAACCAGGTGAAGAAGAATAAAATATGCAGGTTATGATGGCTTGGATGTACCTATGCGCGTTTGTCTTTATCTCTCCAAACATCAGAAAGTGCACATAAGACACTGCAGTTGCCCATATTTTGCCTATTGTGCTTTTTAAAGTTATCTTTCTGGCTCAGTTCATTATTCAAGTATAAGTTTGAAATAACAGAAGACTAAAGTTTCATCCCTTTGGATTATTCTTTCAGTACAGGTTTTTTTTAATAACAATTTTTCAGTTAAATTTACCTCTGTTCAACCTGCTTCATTCCGGTGGGTAGTAATGTAAATGTTTCTCAGAATTGCTGATTCTTGAAGACTGTTACAGGTGCTAAACAAGCCACACATTACAATTTGTCCTTTATTTGGCCTTTATTTTGGATCGTCGGTACATATTTGGAAGGCCTGTATTCCATGCTTGGACAAAGGGACATTGGCAAGAATGGTTAAAGTAAACTTCAGATACTAAGACCGTATGCAGTTAGGCCTAACTGTAAGGGCCATAATGATAAGTAACTGAGATAAAAATGCATTCGGTTTTGCTCTGACTTCTTGCTAACAGAAGCTTTAGAAATAATTATATTCTGCAAGAAGTTGACATTAACTTGAAACAAATATTTAAAAAATGTTTATGATACTTCTGACTATCTTAGGTATAAGGCAGATACCACAGTAACTGAGCAATAAATAACTTCAGCAACTTAGAAATGCTACTCATGGTAACACTGAAGCCTTTGGTCAACTAAAAATGGGTTGGCTGAAGCAGAGTAACACCCAAGATAGTTATATTAACTCAGTCCAAACTCACTTTGCAAAGTTTTCATATTAAGGCCACCAAATACAGTAATATATTTAGTATCCTTTTAAAAAAAAAATGAAATAAGGGAAATTGGTGCTTTGACCTGTTATCGGCCTGTATAACATATTTGGGCACACATCACAAATCTACAAGAAAATATTTCATTGTAGGGACAAGGAGGGGGGCAAAAAGAACAAATGCATGTTTTCTGAAAGAATTGGGAAATGTATGTAAAGGATATTGTGACCCCTGTTCTTGGCTGTGGCTGACCAGTGCACATTGCTATTTGCGGGAATACGCATAGATATCTTTTAAGTAACCTTTGTGCTTCCCTCTGTCCTGGGCTGGCTGTGTGCTGGGTCAGCCCCCATTGTAAATTACGCTAGTTGCCATTGTCTCCAAGAGTCTGTTATAGCTGTTGGGATCACTGGGCTATAGGAAGGCCCTGGACATGCCATTACACCAGATCTACAGCAGGAGAAGGTCCTCCTACAAAATGTTGATTCTCTCATAGGTGTTTGCTTCAACATTAGACCCTTTTTTGTGTGGGTGGCATGGCACAAGATAGCTCTACTAGAGGGGGAAATCTGGGCCAGTATTTTAAAGAATAACACACAGAAGCAGTATTACAGAGAATGTTACAAGACTATTTATATTGTTCTGTGACATTGTACTAACTTACATTGTAACAGGAAAATATATACAAGTAAAAAAAAAAGGGTAATTGGAATTCATTAGGTATCTTTCTTTCAGGTAGTAATGTCTGCATAGCAAGAAAACTGAATTAGGTAAACAGATTTTTAATAGATTCCAGTCTTCTGGTCTGACATGGGGGAATAAGAAAACAATTCTTAGAGCTCTGATTAAGTGGTCTTTTGTTTATTCCTGGCATGCGAGAGCAAGGAAATGCAAAAGAGAGAAAGCTAATTTCACTGGTAGGTGAAACAGCCAGAAACGAAACTACCACAACTTTGTGTTTGAGTGTGTATTGATTTCCCCTTCCAGGTAGGCACTTATGAATCTAACATTATTTTCTGGACCTTTATATCCAGCTATGCCTTTTGAATTGTATTCATTTATGAGATCAGAATCGTACCCTCTTCCCATTTGCTAAATGCCAAACTGACATACCACTCTATTGGAGGGGAGATGTCTTGCTTAACATTTGAATCCAGCCAGCAAGAGAGATGTGCAGCTTCCTCAAGCTCCCAGATTCAGTTTGTACACTGAACTGTATTTTCCAGCATTTCTTTCCTTCTCAAAGGGGCTCCCCCATCTCTTTGGAAGGGAAATATCTTTTAGAACCTCCCACAGCTCTTACTGACTCTGTGTTATAGTGAATTTTCATTAGTGAAAAGTGGATTTGGATTTGTCCAAGTGCTACCCAAAGGGGCTCTACCTCTGTGGTGTCGCCAGCATAGGAAAAGACAGGCAAAGCAAAGTCCCAACCATTTATCTTTTGTGTGGCAGTACTCCCACTAGGCACCATGCTTGCCTTAGCAATACAGTTTTTAATCAGCTCATCATCTGGCACTTTAATTTCAGAGGTGTCTTTCTTATAACTCTGTAACTTGGACTCTGTCTTCTACAGCCTCCGCTCATTGCTGCCTGCATGTGTCAGTTCTTAATTTGAAGAAAAGGGTGTCAATTTTCAGATGGATGAAAGTGCCTAACACCCTGTCAGTTATTGTGTGGAGACACCCATCAGTTCTCTGAGATTAGTTCTTTAAATTTATTTTTGATAGCACAAAATTGGTGATCCTGACAGGGAAAAATACAAGAATAGCGTCTGTTATTTATTGTTTAGGAGTATGAGACATAACTAGAATGTGAAGGTAGATTTATTTTACCTTTCACCGTGAAGTTTGGGTAGATAAGTGTCCTTTATAGTCTGTTATGGATAAAACAGATAACTTGGTTCTAATTAATTAACTACTACCCTTGAATCTTAAAACCTTACAGCTTCACAGAATTACTAGGTCTTACAAAATGCTGGCACCAGTGATCCTCCCATGGCCAGCCATGCTGGCTTGAGAATCATAGTGTCGCAGTGGTGAATTTGTAAAGCAGCCACCCCACACAGAGGATCTGGACTGAAAGACTTCCGTTTTCTCTAATATATGATCCTCCTAAGAGAAAACTCTAGTCTTTTTCTGTCCAGATTGTCTGTGTGGGGTGGCTGCTTTACAAATTTGCAGCTGGAGTCCCCCTTTCCCAAACCTGGGGCTGTGAGCCAGGCTGGGGTGCAATTTCACAGCAGGGAGCCTTCCAGCAGTGAAATTGACATTCTTGTCAATTTCATGGCTGCTGCTATTTCACATTTCCTCTTTGGCTCCTACTGTCAGGTCTGGGCTCACCTGGCCGCCTCCCAGTGATGTATTGGGGGCGGGAGAGGAGAACCTGGGCTCAGGCTCTTCTCCCCCTCCCTCCCACACACAATCCCTCAGTGGGAGGAGGCGGCAGGGCTCTGGACTGTCAGCCAGCAGGCAATGTAAGTAATGCAGTGTCTACACCAGTGGTTCCCAAACTTTAACAACCTGTGAACCCCTTTCACTAAAATGTAAAGTCGAGTGAACCCACTCCTAAAAATTAATATTTCCAGGGATTTGCTCCTTTACCTGAGTATAAATTATAAAAGCAGTGATCTTGGAAATATAAAATTTGTTTTTATGACAAGCTTATTACACACTATTATTATTATTTATCATTACAGTATTTTTATTACATTATGAAAATGGCAACACTCTTCCAAGATCTCACTTTCGTAGCTTGTATCATTTTGAATAAGCCTCTTATAAGACAAGGCTCCTGTGTTTCATCAAGGAGTATCAAACGTGAAACAGCATGAAGGCATTTAAGAAGCCAACTCAGAGTTCCTCCTACACAAGCATTCAGGTCTTGAGCAGTCCATCAAACAACGCACGTTACAACAAAGCTTAAACTTGTTCTTCATAGGAATTTTAAAAACAATACTAGCTGTCTATTTAATTTTAAAAACAGCAAAAAATATCCACCTCCCTTTCCATTTCCTATAAGGAGTCTTGTTTAAATCTCCTCAGCATGATAGTTATGCTTGCTTTGATCTTCTTAGCTCTTGGAAGACCAGGGGCTCTGGGCTGCTGGCCCCGAGTTGTCCCGGTCCCTATGGACAGGTCTGTCTGCCATTAGGAAATTTTTTCACGAGAACCCCCTGTAACATTTCGTGAACCCCCAGGGGTTCACGAACCGCAGTTTGGGAACCACTGGTCTACACTGACCATGCATCGTCCTAACTACATTGACATAAATGCTATGCCTCTCACAGAGGTGAAGTGATTGGGTCGAGGAAGTAGGTGACTTACATTGGCGGGAGCACCATTCTAGTGTAGACACGTAATTAGCTCAACGTAAGCTGCCTTGTGTCGACCTAACTCTGTAGCGTAGACCAGGCGTGAGACTGATGTTTCATACTGGAGGTTTGAGACCATCACCTTCCAAGAGTTAAAATCTTGTGAGATTATATTGTTAGTGAAGCAGAATTACAAGTTATGTAATTTTCTCTTTGGAGATACCATCATTGCAAAATTCTCATTTGGAGGAAAGGTTTCAAACCTCCAGTATGAGATTAGTCTCATGGTAGAAAGCAGAGACCCAAGAGTGAGAATCCTGTCAGAATATCTTCTTTAGAGAGGCAGAATTAAAAGTGAGTTAGTTTACCATCATGGGATGCAAAATGGAGATTGGTTATGAAGTCTGGTTATTCTATATAAATCCAAAAATAAAGGGCATGTTTTCTTAATTCTACACTTTATCTCTTATATGTTCCTGTCACTGAATCTATTGCCTTGTGTACTTCACTGCACCACTCTTTTATAGAAATATTGATACTTTTTAGTGTTGCAGTATCATTTTCTTGGCCATCAGAGGAGTGCATAAGAGCTATCTCTACTATTGACTGAGGTCTAAGGATTATTCAATAAAAACAAACTGTGTAAATGGAATAGTCCCTTCAATAGTAAGATTAAATAGTCTGTATGTCCTCCTATACAACTGGGCTGCTGGGACTTATGTACCAAAGAGCCATTTGTGGTATTTTACAATTATGCTGTTTCTTTAAATTATTACAGAGACCTGCTAATGTTTTCAAGCAAGTTACCTGCTTATGTTTTCAAAGAATAAACCAAAGAGCAGGGCTTCATTTGAAGTCCATTTTTAGCAGCATGGAGCATCCAATTTTGACAGCTCATTTCAGTGTAAAATTGTTGTTAACATTCTGGGATCTTAGTCTTAATGTGTTGGCTTGAGATACCCAGAAAAAATATTTGTTCATTTCCAATTAGGGATGTAACAGATAATTAGATCTTTTTGGTTGAGCATTAATCAGAATGCATTTTGAGTATTCATGTTGTCGGTTGCATGTCATTTATGTACATGACTCCTGAGTGCCATAGTGGGATGGCATTAATGTCTGTTTAGTATTCAGAGACTAGTGGTGGACTATTAAAAGCCTTGTCTACGTTAGGGAAGTATAGATTGGTGTAACTGCATTGATCAGTAGTTACACTAATACGTCCTTCCATTTGTTTGTCACGTGACATCCCTACAGCAGCCTGCGGTATTTGCTTTTGTGGAAGAGTAACAATGGGAGTATTGAAATATATATTTTAGCTTTTTCTTACTGTAATATAGAAGCCAGAAATCAAGACAGCTGGCATCGTGTTCTTTGGAGTCTAGTGGTTATCTAGAGTTCCTGATGCTTTATAGTAGAATGCAAAGATATTTAGGAAGAAACTTGATTTATCTTCACAATTAGAAGATGTGACGATCACTGAAAAAACAAACTTAATTGTGTACAATTTCTTTATATATGAAGGCAAGGTTTTTGTAAAGTTGCTTTAATTCATACCTGCAGTCTAATACAGACACTCGGTTAAGCATAAGTCAGACCTTGCAAGATCATTTTAAATGCCAGGCTTGTGCCCTTGGAATGTAACTTTTCCCATCTTTCTACTGATACAAAAACAAAGTGGGCTTCTTAGTTACAGATCGAGATGCTATTGACTTGTGCTTTGCCTTTGTGTTGTTTGGTGTCAGTATGTCCTAAACTGGTGCCATTGAGTAGTATGGTACCTTAATGTAACAATGACACTTCTTTGTTTTATCCTGCAACAAAAAGGTGGTGAAAGAAGTAAAATAAATTCATGCTGATAATCTCAAAATTGAACTGGTCTTGTTAAAAACCTACAAAGTTTGTTTCACAGCTTCCAAGAGGCTTGCGTTTTCTTTTACCTGTGTCGTATTCATGTAATTACATACAGCACATTTTGGCCCCACTCCCACAAGCCGATCTATGTGGGTAGAGCCTGATGCCTGTGTGGATCCCCAGTAAAGTCTGTGCAGATCAGCTTTCAGGATCAGGGCCTTTCTTTGTCTCTTGATAACAGCATTGTTTGTAGGGTGTATAGAAAAATACCTTTCTCCACAAGATATGCTGTCTATATAATAATATCTGTTTTTTAAAGAACACACAAGTGCATCAGTTGGATAATATTGTTCTACTTATAAAAATAACTCCTTAAATGTGAAGTGGTAATGGTAATCTAATATTTACTTTATTTAAAGTGCTGTCATGCAACTTTATCTTAAGAAACTTATTACCACATCTTGCATATCATTTTGTAATTTATTAAATGCTTTATGAAAATTTTAGGGAAAGAATTAGTGTTTCAGAAGTCATACAATGTTGTTGAGTTTAAACAGTACACAGCTGTTTTTAATAACCTCTTTCAGCTGATGTTTTGAACAGTTAGCATTTTCCTCTAGCTAAAATTATTAAACCAATACTGCTTTGTCAACTTGGTTTTGCAGGAGTTAAATGTCTCTGTGCAATTGTGTAATAGGTTCAAGTATGTAAAGCTTCCTGGGTATCAGTTCAAATGTAAAACCATTTGTTTTAATTAAATGTAGAATATATAACGAATTAAAGATGTGGGATCAAGGTGGACAGCCTTGGCAGCAATGGCCTTTGAACCAGCAACAGTGGATGCAGTCCTTCCAGCATCAGCAAGATCCAAGTAAGTAAATAACAAGATTTGTGCTATCAAAATACAATTTAATTTATTTTTTGTAATCTGAATTTTAGTCCTTGGATTACAGCATGACTGTGGTTACTCCTTTCTTATACCAGCTATTGAGAAATTGTATTTTCTGATGCTCTTCTGGGCGCAGTGATGCTTAGTGTCTCTTCTCTCCCTCCCCTCGTCCCCCAATTGATTTTTAATATGTACAGTACAAGTAAGTGAATTGATTTGTCTTGGGTTGATAAAGTATTGACAGACTATAATCTATTCCCAACAGTTAGTCTGCCTTATTTGTTCTTGATTTTTGTTGCCTTAGTGATTCTTGATGGCTCTTGGCCTTTCTTTTCAGAAACATTGGCTTTTGGCCAAGCTAAGTCATGAGAAACCTTGCAGTTGAGAATGCCTGCTGTACTAGGAAATGCCTGTCTGGTAAAGTGTGCATGCAGATGTGTTTAAAAATCACTTCAGTGAAATCTATTTTTGTGTAGATGGATATATTATTTATTTTGGTTACAGTAATGTGAATGGTGTGCAAGATCCTTTTCAAACACGTAAGATGGTCCCTGCCCAACTAGTGTGTGCAGAATGCTGGCAGACACATATGTCTTTAGTTCTGTGTTTTTGTCTGTTGCATAAACTATCCCCAACTGCACTTCTACCTAGAGATTATTTGCTGACTTTATGATGTCTAATACTTATTATAACAGTATCTTTGTGAATTGATGGCTCTATGGTAATTCACCAGTGGTGTAACCCCAAGTAAGGTATTTTCCCCCTATTCTTGTAAAGATAAATTGCATAACAGAGGTGAGGTAACATACAGTAGGGGAAAGATGGTCTTGAGGGAAATGCAGAGGACTAGTGACCCAGAGACCTGGAGTCTATTTAAATCTTTACCACAAACAAGTCCCTTTTCAGATGTAAGACACTATATAATTTTTAAAATAACTCTTTTTTAATGTTCTGCAGAACTAAAATCGATATAGATGAGAATTATAGAAAAAGAGAAGTGCTCAAAATACATGTGGAGCCAAAAGGTTATTAGGACTAAACACAAGTTATGTCCTCCATAAATAATATATGAAATAAGAATAACACAACAGTATATGACAACAAATACATGAAAAATGGAAAATGTGCATTTAAACTAGATGATTAGCAAATGAAACTCTGTGCTCCTGTTTGTACACATCTGTACATAGATACCTTAAATCAGGAGTAATTAATGTATAGTCATTCACTTTGAAGTACATTGTACCTGTTGCCTACGGTTTGTTGGCACACTTCCAATTGCTTCTAGTTCCTGTGCTAGTCTCTTGCTTTAATGCAAGGAGTGATGGTGGGAGAAAAACTGTGGAACAAAAAAGTAGCAAGTCCAATCTCAAAGCAGAACAGACAATAGTTAAGAAAACATTATGGGAGAATAGACAAGGTAAAAATGAGGAGTGACAGAGAAAAGGGAACAAAAAAGGAGTAGGAACTCAAAAGACCATTATAAGAAGATAAAAGATCATTTTAACACACACTACAAATATGTGCTCTAACTATACATCTTCCTTAAACTTAACTTCACTAATATAGAATTTACAGAGTTTACACCTTTTAAAATCTGAATTTGTATTCTTCACTCTCAAGAGTATAACTACCATCCATTCAAGTAATGATAGAAAAACTAAAACAGTATATATAGTATTCATTTAGAGAAACTCCACTGCAACAGTATGCACATACACGTTGACATATTTGCAATCGGCAATAAAAATGTAATTACATGCCATGAATCATCGGCAAGGTAGTTGTAGGTAAATAAAGTGATTCTTCCGTTAAGAGAATATATGTATATCTCACTAGTAGAATTGTATTTTGGAAGTTTAAATACTGAAATGGTAAAGTTTTTAAAATTTGTTTTAGGCCAGATTGACTGGGCTGCATTAGCTCAGGCATGGATTGCCCAACGGGAAGCCTCGGGGCAGCAGAGCGTGGTAGAACAACAAGGAATGATGCCAAATGGACAGGATATTTCCGGAATAGAGCCTGGTCCAAACAACCATGGTAATTTTCAAGGGGATCCCAACTTCAACAGAATATGGCAGCCAGGTTTGTGTCTCTCTCTCTCTCTCTCTCTCTCTTCTTTTC